TGGGTCTGAGGGGAGTAAAAACGTCAGAGCATGAAAAAAACCACATCAGTGGAAAGAGACTGAAAGCAGCAACAGCATCCAAGAAAAAGCCTTCAGCGTAGTCCCCCTGGGCAGGTGTGTGTTTGAGCACTCTCTCCCTGCCCTGAGGAGGTGTGAAGGTTGATTGTTTGGCTGCAGGAGCACAGGGAGCAGAGCACAGCCGGCTGTGATCCCGTTGGACACAGCCCGGCCCTACAGAGGCACTTTGCGGGAGCTTCACAAGCTGAAAGCAGCTGCCCTCCAGCGACCCCTCGGCAAGCACCGGGCAGGAGCTGTGGGGAGAGGCAGCTGCAGGAACAGGAACCCTCCTGTACTCTGAGTGAAGCCTCACACAGAGCAGTGCACCGGCCTGCAGGAACAGAAACCCTCCTGTGCTTTAAGTCAGCCTCACCTAAACCAGTGCACCGGCCTGCCCGGGGCTGTGGGCAAACAGATTCCTGTGGAAATTCAGAGCTGCCGGGTAAAAATGGCAAGAAATGGATCGATTCCACCCTGGTCTCCACATGGGAAAAGGATGGTCATTTATAAAAATTTATAAAACTAGTCAGTGTTATTATTCCCAGAGCAGGAGAAGCAAAGGCAGAGGCCAAGGAGAAGAGCAGCACAGGGATCTTTCCCCTCTGCAGCGACACAGCTGGTGTAGGAGCAGGGAAAGGGAAGCCCTGGGCAGAAGGTGCCTGTTTCTGCCCTTTGCACCATCACACTCCAGGCAAGGCCAGGTAAGGAAGACAACCTTAGAGAGGATACACAGCTGGTTTGCTGGGGAAAATCTCCTACAGGAGAACTGCCATTGTCTCCCTCTGCCTTGGGCTGACCATGTGGGAAGCACTTGGAATATTTCAATCCCTGTCTGAAGACTGTAACCAGTCCTAATTTGTGCATTTCTAGCTCAGCAGAGAGCACAGTGGCTGCTGCTGAGGGCTAAACAGGGGTCAGGGAGCGATACTACTATCTGTGAATTATTTATGCACTGGAGCCTGGGGATTTGGGGTCATGGCCACAGTAAGAGAATATTCTGGGTCACCCTCCGTGCTAGAGAAAAACAGCTTTGCAAACAAACAACTGATACTCCTTGTTCAAAGATTCCTTAACTCATCCCCATCCTGAAAGTAAAGCAAATGCTCTGCCCACTTAAGAAATGCTTGAGAATAAATAAAAACCTGACAAACTGATGAAAACAAACCATCCTCACAAATGCAGACAGAGAGCATCAACATAATATTGCTGGCTACAACTCTCAGAAACCAGCCCCAGCTTCTAGCTGGAGCTCAGCAATAGTTCTGGCTGTGGAACTCCAAAGCAAACCCAGCCAAGAGGTAATTCTGTATGATCAGGCTGAAAGATCCTAAAACCATCAAAAATCAGTTCAGTTCAAAGCATTACAAGCGCTTGTGCAAAATATGAATATTTCAGCTGGTGTTTTTCAAAGCTCTTCCACTTACTGCTCTCAGAAACAACCGTCTCAGTCACTGCCACTGCTGAGCCCAGAATCCCAGCAGTGCCTCTGCTTTAAAGGGATGTTGTAGTGCCTGGAAACAAGAGCTGATTCCAGCTCGGAGCTGCACATGCACATCTCCGTGCACAGCCAGCCTTTCATTTCAGGAGAGTGACAGTTCTCCGGTGAATTTGTAAACCCTCCCTCTATCAAAAGACATTAAATGAGCCCTGCCTCCCTCCAAATGATCTTTCTGACTGAGTTAATAAGGATTTTTCTGTAAAAGCTGGATGAGAAATGAGCAGAGAAATAACATCTACACACAGCACCTCTATCCGACCATTCACGAGGAAATAAAATTTACAGTGTGATCTTGCTCGTGGTGGAGTGCAGGCAAGTCTTGATTAATCTTCCCTGAATGTGGGGTACTGGTCCTAAGGGGCTGTTTCCAGCCCTCTGTAGCAGTTTCTGTTTGTTCTGCTGCTCTCCTCCTCATCCCAGAGGTTTTGCTGGGATGCACACGAAGATTTAATGTACTCACCACCACTACACTGAATTATTCTGGAACTTACACTTCACTCCAATAGACACAGCCTCAAACAAATAGAAATATCTGAGCACATCCTGATTTCCTCCTTCCCTGTTAGTCCTCAGCAGATGACAGAGACAAACCATTCCACTCCTCATATTTATGTTCTGTTTAGACCACTGAGAGCATTTTTCCTCAGCCTGATGCAGCCCCTGGCACTTCACAATATTTAAACCATCGTGCAGTGTTGATCAAGTTCAGGTAACACAGCTCTGAAAGGTATAATCTTTTACCAGCTATCATATTATAGAAGTCAATCAACTCCTGAAAATGCTCTGGAAGTCAAGCTTCCCGAGCACTCAATCTGCCATTCATACTTCTACACACAGGTGAATCATTCCAGCAGAACTTCTCTAAATAAAGCAAAGCAAGCATCAAAGACATGAAAACATCAGGAATAATCCAGACAAGTCTGGCAAGGCTGTCTCTGATTTCCAAGGGTGAAGGATTCAGCCCTGTAGCACGCTGGAGCTGGAGCAGAAGTAACATATGGGCATCCAACCCAGATTTCCAAATTTAGTGTGAAGATAAGGCCCAGGCAAAGTTGCCTTGAAGCCAGAAGAGCTGGGCAGCTGGGGAACCAGCCCTCAGTTAACAGAACACTTAAAGGAGCCTCTTGTCTGGCTGAGCCACTCTCAGGACCCCTCACCACACGCAGTTGGGTCTAGTTTTGAGCACCGTGGAGGTATTTCCTTGTGAGACCAGGGGCAGGTGGGGTTTGGGATGGAACATGTGGGTCAGACCCTCAGCAAGTGTAAACCAGCCTGGCCTCACTGCAGGCACGTCCACTCTCAGGGAGGAGTCTAAATAAAACACATCTCCCCAAATACATAAAAACTGCGTCACTCGTTCTTTTTCTTTGTAAAAACCTCCACTTTCTTCCTCCAGTCTCTGTAAACTGCAACTGGAGTTCAGCCTTAAAAATATGGTCAATGGTTTTAATAGTTTTGACTAACAATTCCAAATTAAAATAATTTTTATGAAGCATTATCTGCCAGAGATAGTCTTTCCCCACTCACAGTGTTCTTATAAAGGAGCCTCTCACCGATTTTTACGTTCAGACATGGGAAGCTCTTGGATTCTCGGCACGCAAGGAGCACTCATCATTTGGAGGGACTTTTTCATCATAAAATAAATATGAACTGAGAGAGTAGATGCATTTGTCCAAAATGAGAATTGCTACAGCAGCCTGAGCTTTTGCTTTGAAACAGGATTTTCTCTGACACGTCGAGTGTTCTCGGAGGTGTGTAACAGCACTGCTGAGGGGACCCCAAACTACTCCTACACCAGCAAGGACAGAGTTAGCAGGGTTTACAGGAGATAAAATAAGAAATAAAAAAGGACAGATGCAGAGCTCTCCCCACCACCAGCACTTTCCCACACAGCCCTTGGCACCACGAGGCAAAGGCACCATCCAGGGGGGTCAGAGCTGTCCCCTCCACACTTCCTAAACTTCTCCTGGCTGGGCCAGGCAGGGCAGGATGCACAGGGGCCAAGGGGCTCTGCTGCCCCCGGGGGCGTGGGGGGTGCAGGGGGCCGGGGGAGATGTAGGGGAGTTTTGGGGGGCAGGAGGGGTGTGGCAGGGGGAAGGAGGGAAGTGTCAGGGGGCAGAAGGACAGGAGGGGGGTTTTGGGGGACAGGAAGGGTGTGCCGGGAGGGCCGGGGTGCAGGAGGGGGTGCCGGGGTGCCCGGGCGCAGGAGGGGGTGTCCGGGGGCAGGAGGGAGGGTGAGCGGTGCTGGGGAGCAGGACGGGAGTGCCGGGGGGGCAATAGGGGGGTGTTGGAGGGCAGCAGGAGTGGGTACCAGGGCCAGGAGGGGGGTGCCGGGGGGTAGAAAGGCGGTACCGTGGTGCCGAGGGGGAGGAGGGGAATGTCGGGGGACGGGAGGGGGTGCCGGGGGATTGGAGGGGGGTCGTGCCCGGGTGCAGAGAGGTGTGCTGGAGTACCAGAGATCAGAGGGGGATGCCGGGGTACCAGGGTGCAGAGAGGGGTACCGGGGGTGCCGGGATGCAGAGGGGGGTGCCGGGAGGAAGGAGAGGGGTGTCGGGGTGCCGGGATGTAGGGTGGGGGTGCCGGGATGCCGGAGGGGGCGGCTCCGCGGGGAGGGCCGGGCCGGGCGCTCGGCAGCGCGGAGCCGCCCATGGAACTGTCCATGGAACTGTCCATGGAACTGTCCGCGGTACCGGGCACGGAATTGCCCGCGTTACTGTCCATGGAACTGTCCATGGAACTGTCCGCGGTCCTGCCCGTGGAACTGTGCACGGAACTGTCCGCGGAGCCGGTGCTGAAGCCACGGGACGGCGACCCACAAACGGGGCCGTGGGGCAGCAGGACAGGCACCGAGGTGGGACAGGAGGGAGGGACCGAGAGGTGGGGGTGTCCCTGATAAGAGCGTGCAAAGGAGGAACTCCTGGATAGAGGATGGAAAAGGAAAATCCCTTGACGTGTGGTGCAAAGAGAGAACTCTTGGACAGCCAGGGGAAAACCCTTGGATGAGTGACTCAAGGGGGGACCCCTCGAAGCGACAGCACGATGGAAGATCGTTTGGACAGGTGGCACAAAAGGGGAGCCCTTAGACAGCCATGGCACTGGGGAATTCCTTGGGAGGTGGAGCAGGGGGAAACTCACAGCTGGCCAGTGCAAAGTACAAAGACCTGAATGGGTAGTTCAAAGGGGACTCCTTGGACAGGTGGTGTAAAAACCGAACCCTCGGACAGTCAGTTAAAAGGTGGAATTCTTGGACGGCTCATGCAATGGGGAAACTCTTGGACAGGCTGCACAAGTGGGAAACCCTTGGATGGGCGGTTGAAAGACAGACCCCTTGGATAGGGAGTGCAACAAGGAAACCCTTGAGCACACTTTGCAAAGGGGGAACACTCGGGGAGGGAGGGGGCTGTCCCTGGCCAGGAGGGCGCTGGAGGCAGGGGAGGGGGCGCACCTGTGTATGTTCATCTCCCGGGGCGGGCGCCGTGCCTTGTCGTAGGCCACCTTGGCAAAGACGCCGGCGATGAGCACGAAGGCGATGGCCCCGCACGAGATGTAGACGGTGGCGTTGGTGCTGTCCTTGTCCGGGTCGTACTTGTTGGCGTCCCCGTCGGCGCCGTCGCCGCCGTCGGCGGGCAGGGCTCCGCTGGCCGTGGTGGGGTGGGCCCACTCGGGGCTCTTGTAGTTGCGGCACAAGCTCTGGTTGAGCTTCTCGGCGCGCTTGTTGCAGCAGAAGCGGTAGAAGCAGGTGCCGCAGCAGTAGCGGAAGCCCGTGAGGCTGTTGTTGCACTCGAACTCCTTGTCCCACTGCCCGCTCACGTCGTAGTACCCCCAGCACGTCTCGTGCGCCGGGGCCGAGCCCCCTCCGCCGCCCCCGCCCCCGGGGGGGCTCTTGCCGCCCCCCGCGCCTTTGCCGCGCCCGGGCAGCGCCGTGGGGGCGGCGACCCCGGGGCCCGCCAGCGTCTGGTTCAGGAGCTCCTTGCCCGGCTTGGGGGTCCGCCGCGCCGCCGCCGCCCCCTGGGTCCGGTTGCCCTTGGCGCGGGGGGGCCCGGCCGCCTGCGCGGGCAGCAGCAGCAGGGCCAGGAGCTGCAGGCAGAGCAGGAGCAGCGGCAGCAGCAGGTGCCGCGGCCCCATGGCGGG